ATGGGGAATACAGAACTTGAACTCTCCATTGTTGGGGAATATTATTTTAAGATGTGTTACTTTTGTTTATGTTGCATTGTTTAACTCTGTGAAACTGTGTTACTGTGCTTCTCTAAAACAACTGATGGTTTATTAAGAACTGAATGGCAAACAGTAAGGCAGGAGAAAGGATAGGCGGGGCTGGCAGGCAGAGAGAATACATAGAGGGAGAAATCTGGGAGAAGAGAAAAAGAAGTAGCCAGAGAAGGAGGAGGACTCCAGGGGTCAGCCACCCAGCTACACAGCAAGCCATGGTGCAAGAGTAAGATTTTTCCAGAAGTAAGAGAACAGGAAATGTGTGGTGGGCCACACGAATATATTATAGAGATTCAGCTGTGTATTAAAGGTATACTTAGACCAGCCAAGGGTCTGTCAAAAGCCAAGCTGTGAAGGGGCCTCAAAATAGCTTGACCACACAGCAGCCATGACAGTTTTAGGGGCCTAGACACAGCTTCTGTGACAGGCTTACTGGCAGTCAACACCCAGATCCAGGAAAAGCCATAAACTGACCCCACCCAGGGAGGGCCTACATCTAAGGGGAAGTACCTGAAACCCAAACAGTCCAACCATTACATAAGGTGGCCAGATGTCCTTGAGTCTAGCACATACCTATTTTTTGTTTTACAGATACCCCTAGACAATTGTCAGCCAATCAGGGTCCTGGACCCTGGAAATCCCCTCACCCCAACATCTGCTATGATAAAACTCTGTCCCACCTGAGCTCAGGGCTCTTTGCTCTCACCACTGTGTTGTCCAGACAGAGGGACCAAGCTCTGGAGCTTGAAATAAAGGCTCCTTGCTTTTACATGCGGGATTCGGTCTCCGTGGTGGTCTTTTGGGGGTCCCCGCGATCTGGGCATAACACAAGCCATTTATTATAAATATTTGGTGTTATCCAGCTTTTAATATTTCATCTATCTTCTGCTATGAAATTCTTACGTGCCCAAATATTCCCAGACCAAGTGGGAAATATTTCAGCTCCTCAGACCTGCTGAACTTCTAGGTAACTCCCTAGCTGAGCCTAGGAGATAAACTGGCTGGAGACACATAGCTTTGTTTCTTGTGCAAATGAAGCTCAGACCATCCCATTGCCTTGAGCCCTAGGGGCTCTCCAGAGCAATTGACTGATAACAAAAGATGTTTTTACATATCAAGGTGGAAGGTAGGGTGGAACAACATTGCTCAGGAGGCAGGGAACCACATGGTCAGGGGAGGAAGGAACAGGTGTTTTCTGTAGAGACACACAGAATGGAATGGCCAGGGAGAAAAGAACACAGAGGTAATGTATATGGTAAGGCAGAACTTTTGTAGAGTTCATCAGAGGCAGGAGTAGAAAGCAAGTGGAGATGGAGGTAGAAGAAACAGAGGGCGAGGATGAGGTATGAAGTGTAAGAGCTTAGTTGTTAGCAGGACTTTCAGGGAACAGTGAAAGAGAGGACAAGAAGAACTGAAGCTATGGAGACAGGATTTCATCCCAGAGAAATAAAGTAGATGGACAAGGAGCTTGGTGTATCTAGATTTATTCTTGTCCTGAATGCCTGACAGAGCTGTAGCTGAATAGATGGAGTTTTATCTTAGAAGAATTGTTGTGCCGAGATCGTGACCCCCAGAGAGACCACCAAGGACGAGCATACCAGAATGCAAAAGCAAGGTTTATCTTTGTTACAAGTTATGCAACAGGGAACTCATCTCAAGCACTCACTGGCCTCAGCACAGTGAGGCAGGGAGGGGTTACTCTTTCTTGGGGAAGTTAGTTTTTATAGGCAAAACCCATAAAATTTCTTAGAGGGGAGGGGGTCAGTACGGCTCCATCCTTGATTGGTCCAGTCTTTCCCGGGCCTGGAATTTGTCTTATTTTAGCTTATCTGTTTGCCCTGTCAGGAGTTTTACAACTCATCTCCGGGGTCTGGTCATGTTATCTCCAGAGAGGGGCATCTCGTGGTTAATCGATTACCACCAGACATCCTGACTTTGTTCTTTTGAAAACACCTGACTTCACCCTCTCCAGGAAGGGGGAACTGACTCATTTTTAAGATATTTCTTCCCTCAGCTCTTTTGGGTTTCTGGGGGAACTGTGTCTGGGTCTTTCAGAATAAAGTGAACTGACATAAGAACATAGTGTATGTAGATTTTTTTTTTTTTCCCTCAGATATCCCTCGCTGGATGTAGTAGTTTCCCCGGACTCTGGACATCCAGAGGCATAAGTGTGACAGGATAATTTAAGAACTAAAGAAAGATGGCAAGCAACAAGCCAAAGTAAGGCCAGGCATTTATAATTAAATATAAGCCTCTGTGTATGATATTTATAATTAAATATAAGCCTCTGTGTATGATATTTTTTTGGAGCTGGGTGGCAAGTTCCCCAAAAGAGCCAAAAACCAAACAACAGCAACATTATGATTATCAACTTGGAGCTCGGATATCCATTTAGAGCTTGAGAATTCTCTTTTTTTTTCCTTTTCTTTTTATTAAGAGATTTTCTATTCATTTTACATATCAACCACAGATTCCCTTGTCCTCCCTCCTCCCACCCCCCCCCCCAGCCTTCCACCCCAACCAGTCCCCCATACCCACCTCCTACAAGGCAAGGTCTCCCCTGGGGAGTTAGCAGAGCCTGGTATATTCAGTTGAGGCAGGTCCAGTCCCCTCCTCCCCGCACCAAGGCTGAGCAAAGTGTCTCAGCATAGACACTAGGTTCCAAAAAGCCAGCTCATGCACTGAGGACAGGTCTTGGTCTCACTGCCTGGGGGCCCCTAAACAGTTCAAGCTAAACAACTGTCTCACTTATCCTGAGGGCCTAGTCTAGTTCCATGTCGGTTCCTCAGCTATTGGATCACAGTTCATGTTTTTCCACTAGTTTGGCTAGTTGTCTCTGTACTTTTTACAATCATGGTCTCGATATCTCTTGCTCATATGATTCCCTCCTCTCTCTTGTCCATTGGGCTCCTGGATCTCCACCTGGGGCTTGGCCATGGACCTCTGCATCTGCTTCCATCAGTCACTGGATGAGGGTTCTATCATGACAGTTAGGGTGTTTGGCCATCTGATTACCAGAGTAGGTCAGCTCAGGCACCCTCTTGATCATTGATAGTTGTCTATTGTGGAGTTATCTTTGTGGATTTCTGGGGACCTCTCTAGCATCTGATTCTTCCTATTCCCAAGGTGTCTTCATTTATCATAATATCTCTTTCCTTGTTCTCCCATTCTGTTCCTGATCCAGCTAGGACCTCCCACTCCCCTAAGCTGTCTTTCCCCCGACCCTTGCCCTCCATTACCCCCCTCACTCCCAGTTTGCTCATGTTGATCTCATCCATTTCTCCATTGCTGGGTGATCCCTGTGTCTTTCCTAGGGTCATCTTTATTAGGTAGCCTCCCTGGAGCTGTGAGTTGCAGTCTGGTTATTCTTTGTTTTACATCTAGTATCCACTTATGAGTGAGTACATACCATGTTTGTCTTTCTGAGTGTGGGTTACCTCATTCAGGATGATATTTTCTAGTTCCATTCATTTGCCTGCAAACCTCATGATGTCATTGCTTTTCTCTGCTGAGTAGTACTCCATTGTGTATATGTACCACATTTTATTTATCCATTCTTCAGTTGAAGGGCATCTAGGTTGTTTCCAGGTTCTGGCTATTACAAATCATGCTGCTATAAACATAGTTGGGCATGTGTTGTTGTGGTATGATTGAGCAGTCCTTGGGTATATGCCCAAGAGTGGTATAGCTGGGTCTTGAGGGAGATTGATTCCCAATTTTCTGAGAAAGTGGCATACTGATTTCCAAAGTGGGTGTACCAGTTTGCATTCCTACCAACAATGTAGGAGTGTTCCCCTTACTCCACATCCTCTCCAACATAAGCTGTCTTCAGTGTTTTTTGATCTTAGCCATTCAGACAGGTGTAAGATGGTATCTCAGAGTCATTTTGATGTTCATTTCCCTGATGACTAAGGATGTTAAGAAATTCCTTAAATGTCTTTCAGCCATGTGAGCTGCTTCTGTTGAGAATACTCTGTTTAGCTCTATAGCCCATTTTTTATTTGGACTGTTAGGTATTTTGATGTTTAGTTTCTTGAGTTCTTTATATATTTGAGAAATCTTTTTAAAAAAGATATTAAGACTCCTTTAAGAGTTTTTGCCTGCTAGTATGTTAAGTAGAAACAAACAAACAAACAAACAAACAAAAAACTAAGTAAAAATGCCTGCCACAGCACAAGCATTGACATTATAGAGCTCTAGGAAGGTTGAATGCAGTTTTCAGCATGAACTTCTGGCTAGGCTCATGAGCTTTCAGTTTTGCTTTCTGTGACCTGAGAAGTGGGCAGAGTCAGGTGCAAAAGCCTTGGTCAGAGTTCCAGACCACTTAGCTTGCCCAGACTCAAAAATAAAAAGAATTTTGAATTGTTAGTAGGCCTTGAGAACGACATGCAATTAGAGGATTCTTAAGTAGTCAAAGCCATTGATTTAAAATAGCAGAAGAAATGCTTTTACATGAGCCATAGCTATCTGATCACAGGGATATTGGATGGAGGAATCCTAGAATGTCTTGTGGTGTAAAATCTTTCATGAAGCTCAAGGAATAAGAGGATTCTCTCAGGTAGTCTCCTTCTAGCATGATAGATTGCAGACTGTAGCAGAGATACATTTAGCATCAGGGCTTTGGTATTATCTCATAATGTTTACACATCTGCAATTAGTAATTCCCGATAATTAAATTAACTGATTTCTTTGTTTGCACAATGTTCAACACCACTATATTCTTAAGTCCCAAATGCAAAAGACACTTTCAGAACTCACAATATTAAAGGGAGTTACATATGTTTCTTTGTCTTTCATAGCACATTGGTTTGGTAAGGTCATATTTTTCTGTGTCTTATGAGCATGGAACACCAATAATACAAACCTAAGATTTTGCTAAGTAATTATCATTTAGGAAGAACTTGTATTTATTATTGTATTCTTACCTGTATACATTACAGAAAGTGCATCTTTTGCTATAAGTATAGCCATTGGTCCCACAGACTGGTCTATACTCTTTGGTACAAAATCCATTCTACATTCTGGCTGAAAAACACACAAAGATAACAGAAATGTATTAGATGATGGGGTATTAAATAAAATGTTCTTCATTCTTAGTATTTAATGTCATACAAAACAGTTTAAATATAATTTACACATAGATGTAAGGACATACAACACACATAAAACGTGAAAATAATTATCATGTTTTTAGTTTGTAAGCCTCTACTAATAAGAACACCACACAGCTAGAGTGACATGATCTTGTAAAGCAGCCAACTCACATTATAACTATGTAATTCCTCACCAGACAACATTCCGTTCATCACCCCCATCACTAGGTTGAATTTTTTATTGATTGTTCTCTTATTCCTCTGTAAATTCTCTGCAATTCAATGAATGTATTTACTGTATATTTATATATCAACACATCTCATTTATGTGCCTGTTCATAAACATGCATATGCATTTTTAGATGCTTTGGTAATTTATACAAAGACAGCAACACTATATATATTATACATTATTCTAAAATACCATATCTGTTTGTGGTCACCCTTCCCAGGCTTGCCTCTAGGCTCTATATTCTTTCTCCACGTAATTGCTTTTCTACAAATAGAATTAAGCAAAATTCCTTTGTATTTACTTTATTCTCTCATGATTATTCTTTGGTTCAGCCACATTGTGAATTATATTTTAAATTAATGAATGATGTCCTTTCTTGAGTTCCTAAATAAAATTTATAAATGCGTTCACCACTTGTTGGACATCTGGGCTGTTTTTGATATTTAACTATTATTATTAATGCTACTGTGAACATTACCACACAAATGTTTTCATTGAATTGTCTTTCTTTCTCTTTGTAAATTATTAGAGACAGAGTTTGTGACTAATATGGTAGATAAGTATCTGTGATAGGTAAGAAGTGTCAACCATTTTTCAACTTTTCTGTGCTTTTTACAGTCTCTTTAGTAATGTGTGAATATACTTCTTTCTCTACATCTGTGGCAACACATGTTATTATATATTTTGGTTTATAGTCATTATAGTGATTGAGTATATTCAAGATGGACTATATTGTGACTATGTGATATTGTGTAATGATTACTATAATATAATTTGTTCATCAACTACCACATGTGTTCTCCAAAGGATAAATAAAAATTTATCTCTTGTGATAGAAATTCATATCTTCTTGTTAACAGCTTTCCCCCAGACCAACAACTCCCAGGTTCTAGGAATAATCATTTCATCCTCTGATTCTGTTATTGTTACTTTTTGTGGACCTACATGTGAATGAGATCATAGAGTGTTCTGCATGCAACTTACAATCATATCCTCCAAGGTCATGTATGTTTTCATACATGACAGGTTTCCCTTATTTTTATGGTTGAGATATATTCTGTTATATGTGTATAACATATATTTTATTCACCCTTGGTTTTAGTTTCTTGGTTATCTTCATATACTTGTTATTATAAATAATGTCACAATGAACTTGGGTGAGTAGGTATCTCTCCTATATGTTTACTTTGGGATTCTATGATTATATGCTCTTTCTTGTTCCTAATTTCTGAGGAAACTTCACAATGTTTTCCATTGTGACTACATTAGTTTCCATTCTCCCCAAGAGTTCACAAGAGTTCCAGTTTCTGTTTCTCCCCCAACCCTAGTCAAATGCCCTGTCCCTGACCTATACTGTCACACCCATTATTATACATCTTGAGTATTAACTCCGTATGAAGCACATTGCTTGTATATGTTTTCTCATTTCATGGCTTCCTTTTTCATTTTGTTAATGATTCTCTTTGCTGGGAAGCAGCTTTTAAAATTTTCTTCTATTTTTGAGATTTATCTTTCCCTTTGCTCCCTATGAATCATTCATATACCCCTTCATTGTCATTTTCAAATTAACGACCATTTATCATTCATTGTTATATAGATACATGTCTATACTGATATATTCTAAAATAGAATGTGATTAGTCTGTATAATGCTACTCATATTTATGTTTTCAGGTCTGAGTAGCTGTTAATGAAAAATGAATTGGTGTGTGCACCCTCCTACTCTCAGCATTCCTTAGTTGCCTACAGTTCTTTGTGTAGGGTTGTCCACTTTGGCATGTCTATTGTTGTCCTCATTCAGCTCATGTTCAGGTAGTCATGGCGAGAATTTATGAGTGTAGCTTCTGATGTTACTAGGAGACACAGTATCACAGAAACTTTCCTGATCTTCTGGCTCTTAAAATCTTCCCACCTTTTCTTCTGCAAAGTTCCCTGAGCTTAGGATGTGGGAATTTTTATTTATTTATTTATTTATTTTAGATGTATCCACTGGGACTGGGGTCTACAACTCTGGATTTTGATTGGTTGTGGTTTTCTGTAACCATCTCTATCTGTTTCAAAGTGAATTTTCCTTGACAAATGTTGAGTAACAATATCTTATCTGTGGCTATAAAGACAGCTAAAGAATGGAACTAGGGATCGTACTGGTTTAACAAGTGACGCATATCAGTTTTCTTCCAAAATCCATGAGTACCTTAGTCCTGGTTGGTTGGTTAGGTTTCTATTACTAGGCATGATTTTCCTCTTGTTGAGTGAGTTTTAAATCCATTTAGAGAGATGTTGGTTACCTTCAAGGTTCCACTACTGGACCCAAAATTTTATCATGGCATGTTGGTAATTGTTATGGTCCATAGGTGTCATTGCTGGGTAGACTTGTAGCCTCCCTCTTTTGGAAGATTGCATGGTGCCTTATGGTACCATGAAAGCTAATCCTCAGGGAGAAGCCATTCAGGTCTATTTCAAACTTTTTAGTTTGATGTCTCCATGTTTACAGATGCATCTCCAACATGGGTGTTGCAGGAGCTCTCTGAACCATTTGAAGGCGGTGATTGATAAAAGAAAACTCCTTTCTGCACCTTGACTGGTTAGTCTCCTCTTGCAATGGTTTACTTATAGATAAATATGGACAAGGGCTTCCAGAATTTTTCAAGTCTTTATTTTCCCAGACATGGTTTCTCTGTGTTATACAAACAAAATATTTGTGTTTCAGCAATAGAGTTTTATAATCCAGTTCTGGTTGGCAACCAAGTTCAATGTCCATGTCCTATATAGTTTTGTTAAGCCTTCCCTTGGCTCCCTTTTTTCTTATCCCTATCAATTTACTACCTGCTTAAACCCTCCTGCCTTCCATACTCTCCCAATATATTTTCCACCTATATTCTACTATCACCCTCCAAAATGCATCCCCACAAATAAAAGTTAATTTCTCCCCTACCCCCCAGATTCCTCATGTACTTCTTGTTAAGCATGCAAACCAACTGGTTGGAAGCTAGGACCCTCATAGGAGAAAAAAATAACATGTAGCAGTGGCAATTGTCTTTTTGGAACTGGGTTACCTCATTGAGTATATGTTTCCCCAGTTCTGTCTATTTTACCTGTAAATTCCATGTCTTCACTTTTCTTTACAGACCAATCATATTTTATTGTTTATATGTCCTCCATATTCATTATCTATTTATTAGTTGAGGGACATCTAGGTTAATTCCATTTTCTTTTATGAATGAAGTGGCAATGAACATGGAAGTACATGGATCTCTGTAGTGAGATTAAAAAGTCCTCTGAGTATATCCCAGGAGGTTTACAGCTGGACTACATGACAGACCTATTTCTATTTTTAGTTTGATAATCTTCCAGAATTATTTTAGGCTGGCTGAACTAGTTTACAGTCTTACATGCTGTGTAATTTCCCTGTTTCCAGCATTCACACCAGCATGTGTTGTCATTTGTGTTTCTGATGATGGCCATTGTGACCAGAGTGAGAGAGAGTCTTCATATAGTTTTCCTCTCCATTTTCTGATGGCTAAGAATGTTAGACACTCTTTAAAGTGTTTACAAACCATTTTTATTTCATCTTTTGACAATTTATTTCTGTTCATTTCCATAGTCACTTTCAAGTTGTGTTGTTTTTTTGTGTTTAGTTTTTAAAGTTCTTTTTCTGTTCTAGCTCTGACTTCTCTGTCCAGTATATAGTTGGCAATGGTGTCATCCCATTCTTTCAGTTGCTTCACTGAATTGACCTTTACCTTTGCTGTGCTGACTTTGGTGAGTGGTATACTAGAGAGGGAGTGTGAACATATGTAGCCAGATATCATAAACCAGGCCAGCCTCTGCTCATTGGGAGGTATAACATAAGAGGAGTGGGTGTAGAAAAAGAGACAGAAAGGAAAACAAGAAGTGAGAGCAAAATTTTAAATGTAGACGAATTTCTAAACGGTCTTAATGAATAAAAAACACAGAGCCAAATATAGGGGTGAAAGCCTTAGAGATCAGTGAAGTAATGATAGCCACCAACCTTACCCCTCCAGCTCCGCAGCTACCAAAAGTAAGTCATTTCCTGTCTACCTGTGCTTTTATTGCCTTGCTATTCTGCCCTTTCATTGCCTCTTAGCCCAGCTACCTCGTTTTCCTTGTTACTGCCTATCTGTACAGCCCTCCAGGTCTCTATGGTTGGTACTGGGATTAAAGGCATGTGTCACCATGTTTGGCTGTTCCCTAGTGTGTCCTTGAACACACAGAGACTCTGCCTGCCCTGTGATCACATTAAGGGCGTGTGCTACCACTGCCTGACTTTTTTGTTTAATGGCTTGCTATTTCCTCTGATCTCCAGGCAAACTTTATTACCATACACATAAAATATGACCATATTTCAGCACAAATAAAATATCACCACATTAAAAAGCTATTAGCAGTCTGAGGCATTATGACTCTTCTACATTGAATTCCTTAGTATATCCATAATACATATTTGTTTTGGTGAGGAAGAGAGCTGGGTGAAGGTGTAAGCTAATGAAATCACTGGCAGATAAATAACAGTTGTAGTTTGTTCTATTCCGTTATTTTGTTTTAGCTTATCTAATATTATTTTATTAACATTATTATTTATTAACATTATTTTTTTAGATGCCTGTTAGGATTCTAACAGGAAAGAGAAAGAAAGGGTGTAGATTCAGTTGGGTAGGGAAGTTGGGG